CCTCCACTACACTGAGATTGCAAACATGTATTGCTATGCTGGGTTCTTTTATGTAACTTCTGGGGACTGAACTCGGGTTCCTTGTACTTGCTCAGGTTCTTAACTGATTGAACTCTCCCCCCTCCCCCCCCCCCCCCCCCCCCCCCCCCCCCCGGCATCCTCTGCTTGGGTTTAAGCCCAGCTGCTCCATGGGTAAGGCAAGGGGATCCTATATTCAAGGCCTGCCTGTGCTGCAGAGCAAGTTCATGGCTAGCCCAGGTCACTTAGTAATATCTTGTCTCAAAATGAGGGGAAAAGAAATGAACAGGCCTGAGGATGTGGCTGGTGTGGAGCACTCGCCTAGCAGGCACAAGCCCCAGGTTCCAACCCCCAGTACCTTAAACCAAGACACCATCAAAATTCTCAAGTGCCACATCAGGCCCTGGGGTGTGCCTGGCACGGTCTTCTAGGACCTGTGAATGATGTTTCTTGTCAGTTTTGATATGGCATCAGCTGTTCTCTTTGAAGGTGTTCTGCCTTATCCTCTGCTACCTTCTGTGACTCCAGTCACACATGTTTTAGACTGTCCTTCAGAGCTCGCATGGTCTTGTTTAGACATTTGTTCTCTCTCTCTGTTCTCTCTATGTGTCTCTTAAATTCTTTTTCCTTGAATAACCACTGTCCTGTCTTCACCTACAGAAGCATTCTTAAAATCCACCCAGTAGGTTTCTGTTTCATGTGTTTGTATTTTTTAATTCCAAACATTATATTTGTATGTGTGACTTTTTTCTCTCTTTTAATTTTCTCTTTGTCTTGATTGCTTCTTGCCTCTAAATTCTTTAGCATGTTTCAAAGTCTTTGTCTATTAATTTCAACAACTGGATCGCCCATGGCTCTGCTTGCCCACACATTAGTGCTTTTTAGATTGTAAAGAAAGATTCTAGGTAACATTACCTTTCCCCAAAGAATGCTAACATTATGGCCCAGTGAGATGGCTCAGTGTGAAAGCCTTTGCCACCAAGCCTGATGACCTGAGTTTTATTTGTATACACACACACACACACACACACACACACACACACACACACACACAAATGGCATAAATGTAATTTTTGAAAATTCCAGCATTTCTTTTTCCAAAAGTTTTATTTTCATTTTATGTGTATATGTGAGTGCCTGTATGTATGTGTGTATGTATGTATGTATGTATGTATGTATGTATGTATGTATGTATGTGTACTATGTATGAGCCTGGTGCCCATGGAGGTCAGAAGAGGGCTTCAGGTCCCCTAGAACTGGAGTTACTGGCAATTATGAGCCACCATTTTGATTCTGGGAACAGAATTTCCAGGTCCTGCAAAATCAGGAACTCACTATGTAAACCTTGCTTGGTTTGAACTAACAGAGATCTGCCTCTGGCTCTAGAATGCTGAGTTTGAAGGTGGATGCCACCACATCTGGCCAGGCTTGGATTTTAAAGGTCTCCAAAGATCATTTGTTGAAGACTCTCAAGGCAGTGGAAATATTAACAGGTAGCAGCTTAGTGAGAGGAAGCCAATTCACTGGGGACATCCCAGTCCCTCTTTCTGCCTTCTGCTTCCTGGCCTCTATGAGTTGAGTGATTGTACCACACACTGCACTGTTATGTTCTACCTAACCACAGCTGGAACAGCAGGGCTGGGACTGTGAACTGAAACCAGGATAAACCTTACCTCCTCAAAAGTCGATGATCTCAGGTATTTTGTTATAGTGATGAAAACTGTCACTAATGTACTGACTAGTCATATACCAAAGCCTGTGTTCAGTTCTGTTAGAGCAGGAAAATGTCAGTTCCCCCGCTTAGTTCTATAATGTATATAGTTGATACTTTTAGTCTGTGCTCTGTACTCTTTATGTAGTCCTGGCTGTCCTGGAGCTCGCTCTGTAGACCAGGATGGCCCCCGACTCACAGAGATCCACCTGCAGGGTGCTGGGATTAAATGCGAGTGCCACCACCGCCCAGCTATGCTCTGTACTCTTAAGGCTTAACCTTTCTGTAACATCAACTGGATGTCAAAGATACTCATCAGGATCTCTTCTTGCAAGCTGAGCAAGCCAGGAGGAGCAAGCCAGTAAGCAGCACCCCTCCATGGCCTCTCCATCGGCTCCTGCCTCCAGGTTCCTGCCCTGTTTTGATTCCTGCCCTGACTTCCTTCAGTGATGTACAGCAATATGGAAGTGTAAGACAAATAAACCCTTTTCTCCCCAAGTTGCTTTTGGTTATGGTGTTTCATCATAGCAATAGTAAACTAATCTAAGACTGTGTGTGTGTGTGTGTGTGTGTGTGTGTGTGTGTGTGTGTGTGTGTGTGTGTGTATACGACGGACCCTGTCTCAGAGAGACCCTGTCTCT